CTTCCGGACACCGAAAGGTGGAGTGCAGCACACATCCCAGAGCTCCAACAAAGGGAAGGAGAAGTACCGCCTCGACTTCCTCCTCATGCGTCAGACGGACCGGTGTTTCGTGCGTAATGTCTCCGTCAAACGTGTCGACTTCAAGGACTCTGTCCTCGTGCTTACGACTGTCCGCCTCCCCCCCCGTGTCGCACCCAACCGACGAGTGCGGGGGAACAGCGGAAGCAGCCGGATCCGTATCGACCTCGAGCGGTTAACGAAGGACAAACACCTNGTGATGTCGGCCGCTGCTGAGACCGCGCCGCTGGCGAGGTGCACACGAGGGCAGAGAGGCTGGTACACGAGCGAAGCACAGCACGAGATCTCCGAACCGTCTAAGGAGATTAAGGCGGCCCGGAAGCAACTGCGTGGGGCCTCAACGAACAGCGCCTTCGAGGCGACCATGAAGGCGATGCTCAAGGCGACGCGGAAGAAGCGCAGCATCGCGAGGTGGAGAGCACTGGAAACATTCTTTGAGGGCTATGTACGGCAGCTCGAGAAGAAGAGCCGCGAGGGAAGTCAGGCGAGTTTCTACAGGCCCCTGAAGTTGATCGACGTCGAAGGTAAGAGGTCGTTCGCCTCTCAGAACATCAAGGACGAGGACGGCAAGGTCCTTCGGGACCCCACATATATTCGCCAACGGTGGGCACGGTGGTTCCACAAGCTTCTCAACACCAAGTCGCCGACCATCGACCTGCATGCGGCTGGCAAGGTCAAGCGGTGGCCCACGTGCGTGCCACTCGACGACATCCCATCTCTACTCGAGGTTGAGGAAGCGTAACGGCAAATGACCAACAGAAAGGCCGTCGGGCCGGACGACCTACCGGCTTAGCTGATCAAGCTTTTCCTGGACGGAGATCAAGGTCTCCTCCGCGAGTTCCACGCGACTGTCGTGACCGTATGGCAGACGGGGGACATACCACAGCAGTGGAAGGATGCCACCATCAAGGTGCTGTTCAAGAAGGGGGACACGATGGAGTGCGGCAACTACCGGGGCATCTCTCTCGTCGCACACGCCGGCAAGGTGCTGCTTAAGGTCGTCGCTACACGACTGAGCCACTACTGCGAGCGAGAGGGCATCCTCCCGGAGGAGCAGAGCGGTTTCCGCCCACACCGGTCGACGCTCGACATGCTGTTCGCCATCCAGCGGCTCCATGAGCTCGCGAGGAAGAAGAGTACTACGGTGTTCGCGTGCTTCGTCGACCTCACCAAGGCATACGATTCGGTGGACCGAGACCTACTGTGGGACGTGCTCCGACGCTTCGGCGTGCCCCCGAAGATGCTGGCGGTCATTCGCCACTTCCACGAGGGCATGAGGGCGCGCGTCCGAACGGACGACGGGCAGTACTCGGAATGGTTCGACGTGGGCCAAGGCCTCCGACAGGGATGCAACCTGGCCCCGCTGCTGTGCAGCATGTTCTTTGCCGCGATGCTCATGGTCGCCGTGGCCGAGTTCGACAAGGACCCCAAGGTGACGGCGGACATGGTCAAGATCGGGACACAAGTGGAGTACACGGGCAAGAAGTGCAGGTCGGCGGGGAAGAAGACGACGGTGGTGACGGACGCGGAGGCCTTGTGGGCCATGCTCTACGCTGACGACGCGGCCATCGTCTCGCGCTCGCCGGAGAGTCTCGAGAAGATGATGTCGGTCATCGTGCGCGTGGCCGGCCCGTTCGGACTGATGGTGTCGGAGCCAAAGACAGAGATCATGTGCATGCTGCCAAAAGGGATCGAGGAACACCCGTTCACGGTCAGCGCCGCCGGCCAGACGTACAAGCAGACAGATCGGTTTGTGTACCTCGGACGTACCATCTCCGCGGACGGGAAGGCCGACCGGGAGATCACGAGCCGCAGCTGCCGAGCGTGGAAGTGCTACCGCCGGAACAGTGCTTCGATTTACGACAGGCGACGGGCCAACCGCCAGCTCAAGATCCGGCTACTCCAGGCTGAAGTGGTGGAGACTCTCCTGTATGGGTGCGCCTCGTGGAGCCTAACAGCGGAGCACTACACGAAGCTCAATGGGACCCACCGGTCCTTACACGGTGCATCGGCTGGAGCAAGCGGAAACGCTCAGACCGCCNGAAGTGCTACCGCCGGAACAGTTCTTCGATGTACGACAGGCGACGGGCCGACCGCCAGCTCAAGATCCGGCTTCTC